GATGCTATACATGAACAGAAAAAAGTATGTGCTATACAGAAAAACGTATGTGCTTCTGTAATCCTCGGCAGCCACACACAAAGCAACTCAATCACAGCAGCAACACAGAGCAACAAAACTGAGCATTAATCACAGGGAGGGGAATTACCATAGGGCAACTCATCACTCAGCATAGACACTGATAAAACAAACAACTGGAAAGCAAATACTCAAAAGAGTTCAAAGAAATAGATAAAATTATGGTTAAGTCCTGAGATGATGATCTTGCTCTACTTTTGAGCAGTTGCTTTGATTACACTGCAGGATTACATCCTATGGAAATATAATAAAAGGACCATCGTACACCAAACAAATAAGAAAAGTTTCTTGTTGCAGATTAATAGAAATAATGAGGTTGTTTCCAAATTTGCTTGCAAAGGAAAATTCCTGACATTTTAAATATCAGTCTTGCTACCATGTTTTTTTTTTTTTTCCCTTAATCTTCAAAAGTAGAAGTTAGTAAAAGTATGTTCACAACTACATTAGGATACAAGGTTCTGAAACATTAGAACAAAATTGTTCAAAACATGCATATGGGCAGCTTTACTTACAGAGAATTCCAAGAAATTTAGACTGGCTACCTCTCTGGGTTGATTGTCTCATCCTTCCTACTTTATTTCTCTCTAATGCATTCACACTACAAGTTGCATTTTGCCTTAAGTAGGTTTTAGATCAGCCTTTAAACTCTGATAGCTCTTGCCCTCAGTAAAAGGCAAATGGTAATGATAATTACCATTATCAATATGTTTTCTATGATATATGTACAAAAGCATATACACTTTAAATACTCATCTACACATCACCAAGATGTCTCATCTGATCCCAGTATCCTGTGGGATTTATTTGTTCCTACATATATTCTAAAAGTGAAGGAACACCAACACTTCTAAGTTAAAAATCCATAGGAAGGAGAGAGGCAAGTGGAAGCAGGACATCTGTCATGGATATTTCCACAAAGTATCTGCAAATGGAATTACTGTAAGAACTTTGATCCTTTGTCAAACATTTAATCTACACGGTTTTCAAACACCTGCTTATTCACTCAAAGAATGCACTAGAAACTTATCCTTTATGTTAATTTCTGTGACATAAAAAAAATTACATAGTATCATCTTGAGTGCCACTTTCCATCCTCATCATTCCTCCCTCTGAAGGAAAGATTTTTTAAAAATTTAATTAAAAAATTAGTTTGTAAGATTCTGTATCACGGGCAAAATACTTTCTTGTCCTGGATCTTCCACTGGAACAGTATATTGACATAAACATAAAACTCGTTCTAGCAAAATTTTTAAATACAACTCAGCTTTAAGTGAGAAAATATTATCATTTATTTGACAAAGTCTCCAGCTCTGTGCAGACAGATCCCCAAAGGGCAGCTGAAACCCAAACTGCCACAGCAAAGTGCATGTCTGCAAGGAGGCAGAATTATGGCATTCCACATAATCACTTAATCTGATACATGCTTGTGTACTGCTCCATTTTCAATTCACTTTAAGCTGTGCAACGAAGCAAATTCCTACCAGATACTACAAACAACTGAGATAACATGCCTGATGGTCTAATCCAAAATGTGAGTTACTAACACCTGCATTCTTAGCTGATCACATCAGAGGCTGCCACAGTAACAGCCACTGTTTAAGCTCTGGCTTAGGAACTTACCTGTGCTGCTGTTATTTCTCACCTGGAGCTGTTTCTCCAGAAACTGAGATAATGCTCTGAGAGAACACAGAGACATCTAAAGCACTAACCCTAATTTTAGAGCAACTGAAGGGGAATGGTTTGACTATGATCAGGCATAAGAAACTTTTTGCAACATAAATGGGAAAAGCTGCACAGAGTTGCAGTTCACCACCACGTTGCTTTTACTACAGAGAGTTTAATACAGAAATGAAGCTGAACCACAGAGCTGCCATGGCACAACTCCAAGAACACCACCAAATACATAGGAAAAGAGTCACTGGCCACACACTGGGGACTATATGACACACCACAGAATGTAAGCCAGCAACCCCCTTGATAGCAAAACACACACACAGATTAATGCATACGGCACAGGAAGGGTGGCTACATCAATTCACACCATGCACTTCATCTCAAAATACTGCATTTAACTTTTAAATGAGGTTTGAAAGAACTTATAACACCTTGCTCATGGGTTAAACTACAAAAATTACACTGCTTTGACTGTATCTAGTCAAGGGGAAAAACTCTAATTATGAGAATGTGCTGTCAAATAAATGCAAATTCACATCTTTCATATTCTGGGTTAAAAACTCAAACTCAAGTCTACTATAAATTAAAATCAATATTTGAAACATTTCAGTTTCAAGTAATAGGCAACAACCAAAAGAATCAAGTTATGAAATATACTGGTAGGAGTAGAATAAATTATTAAATAAAACTTGTGAAAGTAAGGCATTTATATTGCACACATTTAAATATCAATTAGGAAAAAAACCAATAAAGCATGATGAACTGAATCATCTCTGTTTTACAACCAATCCTCTCTAAAATTGACTGAGGATAACAGAGAAACTAAGCTTGCAATGTAAATTTCATTCAGATTGAAATAGGTTAAAAATTTAAATTCATTAACCAGCTGAAATTTACAACCTCTAAGCTTAAAATTAATAAGAACCGCATTTATAGAAGTAAATGAAATAGAACAGTGGCACCTGCTATGCACAGCATGATAGTTACCTTCTAAAGGAAAAATCCAAGGATCTGCTCAGAGAAAACATAGAATTGCACAGAAAAAAAACCAAACAACCAAACAACAAACAAAACACAAAACACTAAGTTTTAGAATTCCATATTCCTGTATTGTAAGCCATTTCTTCGTAGGAGTAATGGCAAATTACGCACCAATGTGTGTCTAAAATATATTAAAACTGTTCCAATTTGTATTTTCAGTGTGCCACAGTCACACTGGCCAGACTGCAGCCTTGCCTGCCAGGCTGAGGAGAGACGCATGACCACCTATCCCACCCTACTCATGCAGCACACAAGTGGCTGTGAGTGCACATGTGCAAGCTGACTTATCCAGAGGACTTGAACTTCAGTCTGCAAGGGGTTTACTCAGCTGAAAACACCTTTCTAACGCTCACCTGAAAGGAATATTACAGATATGTTTCCGGAGGTCAATAAAGGCTGAGGTTGTATTGAAATAAAAACATGAAGGAATCAGGCAAGGTATTAAAAAAAAACCAAACAGCAAACACCTGTTAAGAATTAAATGAGGACTGACTTTTTAGTCTATGCCTGCCTACCACATCTACAGCCCTCCAAATCACCGCAATATCCATTCCAACCTATTGAAAGTACTACAGAAGCTGTGGGGTGGAGATAGCAGAGCCTTCAAACAGCCATTTAGAGATACTCAGACTTTAAAAGGACCTTGCAAGCCGTAACTATCTCACATCCCCACCATCGTTTCCAAGTGAACTTGAAATATAATACCCCAGAAAAATACAGCTTGAAAGAGACTAATCTTTCTTTAAACAGACAGCTTTTTTCTCTACGCTGGAGAAGTTCTAAGTATCTCACAGCAATAGTCACTGTGGATGGTGATATCCAGGATGAAACAGAGTCAGCTACTTTTGATGGGTAACAGCAATTGTTATTATTTATCTAGGATTCATTACATGCCAATCGTGCATAAAACGTGGAACTAGCTGACTGATGAACACTTGGAAGATACTGCTGAGTAGTTTGCTGATGCCAAGAACCATTGTTACTGTACAAGATGGATGGCTGCACACATTTGTAGATGGAGAGGCATCCTGCTGTTCCTGAAGGACTTGCTGAGAAAGGACAGGCTATGGCTTGATCCACATTAACAGCGTAAGAGTCCTTTTACATGGGAGAACTCCACGCTCTAAAGCACTGCCCTCAGCTGCGAGATGTGCAATCCTAGAGAGCAGCTTCCCCTTAAATCAAGGTTCTGAAGTGCCCACTTGCCCCCTGCCCCCTAAACTACTGCTTGGTGCAGAGGTCCTGTCCAGGCTGAGCCTCCCCAGTGAGTTACTGTTGGATGCCCATTCTAATGCCGTGTCCTCCCTGCAGTCAGAGCAGGAGGGCTGCACGAGCTCCAGCTCCCAACAAACACACTTCCTTGCCATTCCCTAATAAAGTTCTTGCCTTCTACTCGTGTAGAAACCTCGAGCAACACTGTAGTCTAATACCTGACAGTTCTCTCTAAATCTCAAATGTCTTTCACGATGCTGAATAAAACCCAGCCACTGGTACCACAGCTCAAAATACAATACAGGCAAGATGCAGAATCACAGTTAGTTTCCTCCTGAACACATTTATCTCCAAATATGAGAACTTTATAATAATAATTACAGTAGAGGAAAAAGAAAAAAACCCATAAACTTTAGAAAACTGGTGTAGAAATCCATTTGAACCCTTCCTCTGACCCCCTTCTCTTCCCTCCATAAACTTCCCCAAGTTACTGGGTATTTTTTAGTCCCTCTTTCCCTTTTGTTTGATGGTTTCTTTAATGGATGAAAGAAAAGATGCCTATACTTTCCCTCCCTTAAGATGAACCTTCAGAGTATATAAATTGCTTGAGTAAATAAAAGAAAGGAGGGAATTACTAATTTAATGCTTTTCCATCTCTTGGGGAAAAAGCCCATGTAATTAACTGTAATGAGATTAAACTAACTTGTTGTTATTAATTTCCCAGTGCTGAAAACTAAATCTGAGACCCATAAGACTGTGTATTAACCAGCTTTATCAACATTTGGCTTGCATCCTTCAGTTTTTACACCAGTTTTGAAGGAAAATGATTAACTTCATTGAGTTGCAAGTCACTCTGAAGTATTAGAAATTGAATCTGGTCCCTTTAGGCAGGAATACCAGATTCATCCGTAACTGAAGACTGTGAATGGGTGGAGCCAAGAGCAACAAATGTTATCCAACCCAAATAAACAGAATAATAATTATTAAATTCTTACCAAAACTTTTTTCCATTACTTCTTTCTGACACATGTCTTGAACATTCACTGTACAATTCACGATGAACTCTGGGGAAGAGCAGTCATTATTTAGCTGGAACTCCTCACACTGGTAACACTGTATTTGCAAAGCCAAACCTGGAACAGATAAAATTTTGTTCAAAATCATAGAATGCTTTGGGTTGGAAGAGACCTTGTAGATCATGTCTTTCCACCTCCCTGCCACGCGTTGCTCAAAGCCCATTCAACCCGGCATGAATAGTAGTAATAATGTTAAAATAGCAATAAAAAAAAAAAAAAAAAAAAGAAAGAACCAACCACAAAACCAAACCAAATAACCAACACGTGCCTGAAATCTCCCTTATCATTCTCTCTTCGCATTTTGCTGTTTCTAACTACTCCACAGCTCAGAGAAAGTATCCCTTTGACAAAAATAAAGGAAAACAAGCGTGCCGGTCCGCTCAGCTGAGAGCCCAAGCGCTACGAGCTCAGCACCTGCTGTGATGATGCTCCCTCCGTTCCGCGGGGCGGCCGCTCCGGCGCTGGGAACGCTGCCACCAGGAGGCGACGGGTACGGACACGGACACCGGTACCGACACCGGCCCGCAGCCCTTGCCCATCGCCCACCAGCTCGCCTCGGGGCTGCCCCTCAGCACAGCGGGCTGAAAACTCCCCGCGCCCCGGAGAGAGCAACCCGGCTAAGAGATACACTTCGGCTCTTATCTGTACCGACGGGTTTGCTTAGCTACTAATTAATTACAAATGATTTAATTACTATTTTGCCGCGCACAGTTACGGCGGCGGAGCATCCTTCCAACCTCCCCTCCTTTATCATGCAAAGCGAGGCGCTCTGTGCGGCTCGCCAAGCAGCCGCCTCTCCCGGCGTTCCGCCAGCGGTCCCCGCACTCCTCGCCCCGCAGCCGGGACGCGCAGAACCCCGTGGGTGCCCTCCGGCGGCGGGACTGAGCCCGCTGGCCCCCGACCCTCCGCCCAGAGAGGCGTGCGCGGAGCCCGCGGTCAGCAGGCGGCATCCTCGGAGCCCCGCACCGTGAGCTGCCTGCTGAGCATCGCCTCGCCCAGCGGGTCCCCCAGCGCTGGGGACACCGGGCGGGCGGCGGGGGGCTCTCCGGGCCGCGGGCAGGACGGCGCCAGCTCCGTCGAGGGGCTGCGAGGGGACGAAACCTCCCCGCGGCCGCTGCGGACAGCGACGGGCAGCCCGGGATGCCCGCCCGCACCGCCGGGGGAAGCGGCGCGGAGCTCCTTACCTGGAGCCAGGCACAATCCCCAGAAAGTTGCAGCGAGGAGGAAGAGCCGCATCCTCCCGGAGCCGCGGCCGCCGGGCTGGCGTGCAGTCGCGAAGGGGCATCAGAAGCAGGGAAGCAGCGCAGGCACCCCGCACTTGTGCCACTTCCCCGCCGCCTCCGTTGCGGGAGCGGCGCCCCGGGAGCAGGCGGCGGAGCCTGCCCGGCTCCCGCCCTGCCCAGCCCCGCGCCGCGCTCCAGCCTCGCCGGAGTTGAGCGCTGAGACTGGAAGAAACTGTAGGAGAAAGCGAGAGCTGGGGGGCGGCTCCCCCCCCTCCCGCCCCCAGCACCATGTGATGCCGGCGGAGCGGGGCGGGGATCCCCGCCAGCCGCCCCGCACCTCCCTGGGCGCACTCCAGGGACGGGCAGAGTTCAATGAGAGAGGAGAGCCCCTCGCTCCTGCCCCTGCACCGCCAGCTCGGCGCTGCGGGGGGATCCCCCAACCCTCCGCTCTCCGGGGCAGCTCGTTCGCATCCCCCGCCCTTCCCTCCGCTCCCGGGGCGGGGCACAGACCCCGCGCGGTGGCTCCTCTCGCCCCGGTCCCCTCCCTATCCCCTCCTGCCCGAAGGCCACAGGTGGCAGCCGGAGCGCTGAGGGGACGGGCCCCGCTGCGAGGCGTCGCTCGTCTCTCGCAAACGCCTCGCAGAACCCGCGTTCTCGGGAGGGACCGAGCAGAGGCGCGGCCCCATCGCTTCCTCCCCCGGCCCCCTGGAAGGGAATTCAAGCACGACAAAATGCGGGAGAGGGGCGCAGTAGCCGCGGACATGTCGGTGCGGTGGGCAGTCCCCCCCTCCTCTGCGGACACGCGGCGGGATGGGGACTCGGTGGGTCTGGGGGCGATGGGGGAGGTGGGCTGAGGCGGAGGGAGCTGATGGTGCGTTGGGATGAAATAGTCTGAGGCGGTGGGATCCACCGACGGGTCGAGATGGGGCGGGCTGGGGAGGTGGGAGCTGGTGGCGGGGCGGGATGGAGTGGGCTGAGGCGGTGGGATTCTCTGGCGGGGCGGGATGGGGTGGGCTGAGGCGGCGGGAACGGCGAGGAGCCGTCGGAGTGCCGGGCAGAGCCCGCCCCGGGGGAGGGAAGGGCGAGGGAAGCTGCAGGGACAGCCCAGGGTGCTGCGGTCGTCGATGCTCAGACGGTCTTTTCCGCCCTGTTCCGACCCAGCCCGAGGGTGGTGGTTCGTCTCCTCCCCGGATAACCATGTAATTTCTCCGTGATCGTTTCACAGCCTTACTGTGATGAAGAGTCTGAATTAAGTTTGAATCGCTGTTTAAAATCCCCGTGTCACGAATTCCCTCAAACGCCCGAACCCCGCCTGCCCCGGAGCGGGGGCGGCTCGGCGGGTACCCCCTGGACCACCCCTTGGGCTGGCTACGGTGATTCCCACCCTGAGCCCACCCTCACGTTCAGGGTGTCACACCATCCCCTTCCCAAAACGCCTCCGCAGGCACACGTACGCAAGAAAAGTTTTATTTACGAAAGATGTTTCAATGAAAATTTCTTAAAAGTCAAAAAAGACGATGCAAGTTTACGGCAGAAATGACTTAAAATATAACAAATTGCACAAAATATTAACACTGATCATACAGTATTTCAAAGATTAACAGGCATGTGCTAAAGAAACTGTAGAGTCTAGAAATACCCCAAATATATCTAGTTTACAATTGCTGTACAAAAAGCAGTTATAAATACTTCACAGCTAGAAAAAATACACAGAACCTTTGAAATAGACTTTCCCTTACATATAAACAACCTTTGTAGAAAAAACAAAAAACACCCAAAACAGGCCCTGCTCCTAGATATGTTTGAACTAGTACTGGTTAGCACCAACATATTATTGCAGTGTGTCACAAACGGGAGTTGTTTCAGTTTTTAAAATATAATTTTAGTATTTAGAATTTAATTAAGACCAAACAGGGACTACAAAAGATAACACGGTATGGTACATTCATAATTTGATGGCAAATGAGTACAGAGGAGGTGGAAGTTGAAAAACTGAGTTGCAGTCAGAAGCACAGGGTGGTTTGTGTAGTTCTCATTCCTACAAGACTCCCGTTTGTGTCAGCAGCGAATTGCTTTGACCCTGATCTTTCAAAGAGTTATGTGCATGATTGATGAAGCCAATGCCAGCAGTATCAAGACTTTTAATCTATTCATTTTCTTGCCATGTCAAAAGTCAAAACCCTTTTGAAATAAGACACCTGTTGTGAAGTTGTAATAACTGAAATGCATGTCTCCGTAGAACACCTGTATGGAATTGCACTAGAAGTAAAAAATAAAACGTTTTGTAAAACAGAGTCCATGAAAGTTTATTACAGGCAGTCTGGCAGGCTCAGGTTTATGGTAACGCAGTGTTTCTACATACAGTCTTAAGACTAGAACAATTATAAATCTTTTTAAAAAAATCTACTAACTTTTCTTGTTAATATTAACACCAATTTCTTTAAGTTAGTAATCTGCCATTACAGGAGCATAGCACCAATTTAATATTTATTGCTGTCGTGTATCCCTACAAATATATTTTTCCCAAGGTATTTACAACTGTACAAATATTCACAAAAGTGCAAAATTAAGACTTTATTCTGTGTAAGCGCTCGCCGTGTTCAGCGTTGAGTCCCACGCACCACCACGCCGCCTCCCTGCCTTATTGCTGTGTGATGGGAAGTCAGAACACCCTGCCGTGAGTGCCATGATCCAGAGGGGGAATTTTCAACAACTGTCCCTTTCCCCCCCTCCTCACTCCTCGCTCGCCTTCAGCTCCGTTATGTGCCACGGTCACAGCCCACTGGGAAGTGTCTCTACACGTCGTTGGAGCCTTGGCTGGCGCAAGAGGAGAAGCTATCATACAGGGAATCACTCAAGGATTCCAAATTGTCCACCTCGTGCTGACCCGAGCTATTTAGGGAAGCCTCTTCTTTCTTCCCGTTTTCTTCCCTTTGTCCTTCAACCTTGTTCAGACAGTTCTTCTCTCTTTCTAATAAAAGCACGTTATTGCTGTTAAATTTATTGAGAGACTCCAGGGAGATTTTAGATACTCTATTCTGGGAATCTTCTTTTGTTTCTTCAGTTTGCTTCAATTTCTGTAATAAGTGAGGGAAATATTAGAAACATATTTCTTATAAAAATAAAGTTATCCTATTGTACACCATTAATTACCATCTTTTCAAAGTTCACAGGGTGGAAGGAAATAGACTGTTAGACACTTAAATAACTGTTATGATTAAATAGAACATTAGTGTCCATTTTAGGTTAAATCAGAACTTTACGATTCTGCTGAGACAAATAGGACTCCATTTACGTAACAGTTAAGTGCTAATAATGTCATAAGTAGCAGATCCTGGCTATGCATGTGTTAAAATTCTCTAGCATCCTCACAGTAATTTACATTTTCTCCTGTACAAATACTTTGGGGGGGGGGTGGGGTATGTTTAAACAGGTATTTGTTTAGGTAGAGTTTGAAAAAAAAAAAAAAAGGTGCAGAGGAGAAAACAACATTTTCCATAAATCAAGGATGCAAATGAAACTTGCTAGGGAATAACCTCACATTTTGCATGTGCAAGGCTATTGATTTTCACAGACCCAAACCCTCTCTAATAGACAAGAAAGCAGCAAGACAGGAAATTATACTGAGCTGGGCCGATCCCCACAGACCAGAATCAATCAGATATTGGCCAGGCCTGCTTGGTGAAGTGGAGCAATTCTGTGGGAACACCGGACGATGTATTAGCACATTATATTAAAAACGCACAGTAGGATTGTACCAGAGCAATTTTATCCCTTTGTTAGCTACTGGTATTTGCAATCAGAGCTCTGACCAAGGAATCATTAGGGAGCTGTGTAGGGAGCGGCTCAATAAAAATGACCTGCTATTCATATACAGGGTGTTTCAAAATCTGAGTAACTAACTCCTCTTACAGATAATATTACCACAGAAATATGGGATAGCATTCAACATTTTACAATCAACATTCAATAACCTCTTGGACAGATAAGATTCAAGGAATCTGAGATAAGCCATGACAGGGCAAAGCCATTCCTCATTTTTGGTAGGGCCATCAGATGTCAAAGACTGAATCAGTAAATTATTGTAAATCCAAGACATTAATATTTTGTTTTAGATAGAAAATGAAACGGCATTTTAAGCACACTGAAAATATAGCTTGGGCAGAAGTATGGATGCTGTGGATCATAACATATACAGTTGTAAAGGGTCATTAGAATTTTTGGAAGAATTCAAGTTCCAAGTCAGTCAAATGTTGAGCTTGCTGTGCTGTTTCTCCTTGGAAATCTTGGGCAAGAGAAAGACAAATTGTTACATAGTTTGATTGCTTGTTTTTATGGCTAGTTAGCTAAAAATTGAAATGCCAGTCCAATGACTGTTTATGCTGTGATCTTGTCATATTTCATAAGCTGACCATGCATGGATTAGATTAGTATTTTTAGCAAATGTTTCAAGCAGACTTAAGCAAAGCAACAGGAGATCCTAAAATCTTAGTAAATGAAAATTTTCTGCTTGGTTCATTAATTAATCTTCAGTCTAAAAGGTTTTAGGGGATGTTATGTTGGATTCTGATTTTAGATGACAGCTCAAACCAAGGTCTTCAATATCTGTAATTATAATGTTTTCTGAGATAGAGGAATATTAACCCTTGGTAATGGGAATGAACACAAATTTAAGACCCTTCAATAGAAATTTTTCACCATTTCAGCTTAAAATGTTCTTCCCTTTGCTCTCATTTAAAATACTGAAAGAGTTATTTTGCTTTTCTGTAGGCCAGATGAGAAAATTCTCAGCCATGGCGTCAATAAGACATGTTAGCACCTTTTGCTCTCCAGAGTACTAAACCTAAAGTATTTCATCACATGACAGACTAAATGATGCTTCTTTGTCTGTGTTTTTCCCACTTCACAGCTTTTCTTTAGATAAATTGAATGCGACCACTTAGTACAGACTCGGGGCTGCAGGGCTCAATACTGGTGTTAGTAAGGTCTGTGATAAAACTCCTATTGATTCAAATGGAGCCGATTTTGACTCCTGGGCAGGAGGAGCACAGACTCCTGGAGAATTTGCAGCACAGAGCAGTCTGGGTGAAGCATTGCAATAAGAGTAGGATTTTGGCTATCCTACTGGAGCATAGATTTACACCACAGGAAAGACAGGGCTGAATTCATTGGTATATTCTGCATGTATGTATCCATAATTTTTTATACCCTACAAGCACAACCAAGGCTACAATCCTGCTTTAATCACACCCTAGGTTCTCATTTAATATAAAGATATCACTTTGTAAAATAGTTTAGAGAAACAGCAGGGAATAAAAGTATTCTCTACAAATTCTAA